GATATATAATGAATAAATTTTTGCTTATATCGCAGATATTACTAGATGATATAGTTTTGGCTTTCATTATTTCATCTAATAATAGTGCCAGTTACTTACTACTAAATAAACTAAAATGGTGAGTCACTGATAAAATTAAATAATATAATGCTACTGAATATACGATGAAAATAATTGAAAATTCATTCGTAGCATCGTTGGATGTAAAATAAATTTGGAAAATCCAAAAGCGCACACCTTGAACGCTCGTGTTATGTTTTGAATAATCAATTTACTTTTATTCATTACCGAAACACGTATTTCGTTTAATGCCACGGAAAAAATGTTCGATTTTTTTGACTGCTTGATACCTGTGATTCGTAGTTTGTTACGGAAAAAATATCAAAATGTTAAAAATATCATATTAAATGTTAAAAATTGTCAAATAATTAATAAAAAGGTATTAATGAACGGCACGGTTAACAACAATGAAATTCAAAAGGCTTCCTAAGGATTAAAATCTAAAGCTAGTAAAAAAAAATCAGAGTGATGAGTTCAGTTTTTCTAAAGATATCTTGTTTACATCCGTACCGACCAACTGACGTCCAAGTGAAAACTTCTTTTGGCATGACCACCACGCACAGATATATATATATATATATATATATATATATATATATATATATATATATATATATATATATAATAAATTATATTATAAATGAATTATAACTACGTTGCACTTTTTTTATTATATTAGTGCAATACTAGCTGTTCCCCGCTACTTCGGCCGCGTGTAATTTATTACGATTGGATTTCATGGGTTTTAATTCTTTTGCGCGGAATCCTAATTTTTTTTTAAAATCAAAGTAGCTTATGTTATTCCTATAACATCTGATATCTACCAGTGAAAGTCCAGTCAAAATCGGTCCAGCCGTTTCGGAGATTAGCTGGAACAAACAGACAGACAAAAATTTTAAAATTTTAGTTTTTGTTATATGTACCGTATATAATTTCATATGCATATAGTACAAAGCTGTTATTTTGAGATTACAAACAGACACTTCAATTTTATTTATTTGTTTAGATAAAGCTGGTGGACGTGGTTTACGTTTTGGGGAACGTGGGCTGTCGACAGGAAACAACATCACATATGTATACCAGACGTCAAAAACTGCGATTATTCATCCGCCTGTAAAGCGTGACGATTTCTTTATAGAATATAAATTACGGCAAATCTCGCTTTTTCTAAGAGAGGCTTATGTCCAGCTCTGGACAGTCTATAGGTTCATGACGGTCCAGACGTGTGGAATAAAACGAATTTTTCATTCACTCAACCAATCAATTTCAGCTACTTTATTTTATAACTCTGCAAATTTAGAATGCTGTTGATTTACTTTTGGATTAAATCAGATCAAAAATTAGTAATATAAAATAGCCCAGGGTATCAATGTCATCAGGATAATAAACACATCAGTCTTCCCTCGACAATTATTGAAGCATAGTATTCGAAGTACCGGTAAAATAAATAAGGATAATATGAAACAATTCAGATAACCCGTGAAATTATTTCAGTTTTAGCTAAACTACATTAAAATCTAAAATAAAGTCAATGTTGAAGAAAATGAACTAAGGTTTAAAGACAGCACGTGACATTAGACCTAAATTGAATTAGAAATACTCGTGTATCTAGAAAATGCATTTTAGTTTCAATTGACCTAATAGAAAACGACAATGTGTTACCAGCTATGAATATGTCCGGCGAGCTCGAGCAGTGCTCGGAGCCAGTTTAGAATGCAAACTTCGATATTTGAATTTCAAAATACGAGACACTGGAAGCCAGGCCGTAGAATATATCTCATGATTCTTCCCTTGGTAGACGAGTAAAACAAGTTCAACGTGCCTACGACATCTGAATGCCAATTTCGTTGACGGTGGTTTTATGCTCTTGTAAGTTATCGCTGCAGGAATATAGTCTGATTAATACATCTCCCCCGGGTCGCCTGAGGTCGCATAAATCTCTAGTTAGCGAGTTCAATTTCGGTCCGCTAACTCGATCTGGTCCCGTGATAATCCAGACGAATTCACCTCCTTTACAATTCTTCAATTATACTGTGTACTTTTTTAGCAACTAATACTAGTTGTTCGACTCCACAAAGTCAATTTTTCATGGGATTGCGGACACGCCTTTACAAAAAAATCACAAAACATATAAAAACTCAAACCGGATAAAAGGGTTATTATTTAAATAATAATTGATTGATAAAGCCCCTGGGAATGAATGGTTCGGTAGCAAGCTGTTTCAAAATGGTTTTTTTATATAATTTAGGGATAATATGTATATTATACATATTATATAAAAAAAAGTTTACGCCTATTTTTTAAAATTACTGCTTTATTGTTCCAATCAAAAGTTTTTACTAGAACTAACACCCAAATAACCGTTTCTATTCCTTCGGGGGAAAAACGGGAATATTTATTCTTATTCTGACAACTTTAAATCTGGATGCTAATGTAAATGCACAAATTGGTTAACACGCGGTCTTGCCCTCATATTTCACGGGCCCGCTGCTTTTTTCTGGACGCCCTAGGAGGCACTGGGAAAACATACTTCGCAAATTTGGTGTGCTTTTTCAGGAATTGCCGCAACTCTATTAAATGATGGGAAAACAGCACACTCCACTTTCAAGCTACCACTGACAGTATCTTTGGAACAACAGTCAGTATGTTCCATACGTAAAAATGGACCACTTGGCAAACTTTTAGAAGATGTATTATTGATCATATGGGATGAATGTACCATGAGTCATAGAGCTCATGTTGAAGCAGTAAACTGAACGCTCCAAGACTTCAGAAACTCAGATGCTATCATGGGCTACTTTTATGTTTGCGGGCGATTTTTGGCAAACATTGCCCGTTATAATAAAAGGAACACGCGCCGATGTTTTCAGAGCATACTTAAAATCATCTCCGTTAAACTCTCGAACAAATATGTGAGCCCATTTGGGCGACAACGACGTCACCGACTTTCGGCAACGACTACTCAAATTTGAAGAAGGAAAAATTACCTCTCCTAGCACTAACAGTAGTGGTGCTAAAATTGACGATAGATTGGGCCACACAGTCCATAGATTAGAACATCTAATAGACGCAATATACCCCGGATTTGAAAATTTATTGAAAAGAAATTAAGTTGGGTCTGGCAGAAGAAGCATGAGAGTAGAATAAATGCTGTAGAAATGCGTTCCTTAAGGAGTATGCTAGGGCTGAATCTGAATGACAGGGTGAGAAATAGTGTAATAAGAGAAAAGTGTGGTTTGCAAGATGACGTTGTGACAAGGATTAAGAAAGGAATGCTTCGGTGGTTTGGTCACGTAGAAAGAATGAACGAGGAAAGAGTGACAAAGCAAATTTATGTTGCAGAAGTGAACGGCAGGGTCGGGAAGGGACGCCCTAGACGAAGGTTTATCGACCAGATCGGCGATACATTGAAAATGGGCCAGATTAGGAGTACCCTTAACCGACGAGCGTGTATGCGTAGATATATGGATGTGAAAGAGGCGAGAGAGGTGTGTCAGGATCGCGCCAAATGGAAGTCCGTAGTCTCTGCCTACCCCTCTGGGTGACAGGCGTGAGTGTTTATGTATGTATGTATGTAGAAATTATCACTCGCTTTGTTTAAGGACAATAGTGTCACCCAGGAACGATACAGTGGATGAAATAAATAAACTGATTTTACAGAAAATTCCTGGTCAAGTCAAACAGTAGGTCGGTCGACACGGTGTGTAATATTGAGGATACAGTGCACTACCCTCAAGAATTTTTAAATTCTTTGAGTCCTAGCCTACCACTCTACGACCTTATATTAAAAATCGGCATTACTATCATGCTGTTAATACCCTCCCGACATGTATAATGGCACAAGACTACTGATAAAAAAGTTGCGGGACAATATAATCGTGGTGACCATCCTCACGGGGCCAGCAGTGGGACAACTTGCTCATATTCCGCGGATACCTTTGATTCCGACGGATTTGCCAATATCGTTCAAAAGGCTGCAGTTTCCAGTCAAAGTCTCATTTGCCCTCACGATAAATAAGTCCCAGAGTCAAAAATTTTCTGTGGTGGGCATTGACTTGAAAAAGGAGTGTTTTCCCATGGCCAATTATATGTTGGCTTATCTCGAGTTGGAACTTCTGAAAACCAATACATTTTGCTACCAGACAATAACACAACATCAAACATAGTATACAGGGAAGTCATACAATTGATATACTTGTCCAATACATACTAGCAGCCAACAAGAAATAAAATAAACATAAAATAAATCCTAAACACTCAGTACTAAGAACCACACAAGATAATTTCATCACAAGTAAAATCGTTTGACGCCCAGCGAAGTGGGCACGGCTCAGCTAGTGGTATTAATGTGCACACTTTCGATGTTACCGCATAAGAGTTATATCTTTTATAGGTACATACTTGTAATAGATTAGTATAGTCGTATGCAGTTATTAAATTGTCATATTTATATTTTTTAGATTAGGTAACTTCCAATTAAATCTGAAAGCACTGTGGCTCAAATCAGATTAAAATATTACACTATATAATTAATTATTGTTTATTCATCTATACATATAAATAAACTGACGTGTCGGTTTGTAACGTTGAACTAATTGGATTCTTTTAAGCTTAGGGGGCTTATTTGCATGCTGTTTTAAGACATAAATAACCATCTTTTCAATTTTGTCTGTCTGTCTGTACGAGTTAATCTAAATTGAAATTGCTGAACCGATTGTGATTAAACTGAATGATCAGATAGAGAGCAATGCCAGGAGGGATTCAGGCTAGAATGTTATCCGAAAAACTTAAAGAATTAAAAATAAAATGATAGTTGGGCTTTAATTTTGTTAAGCCTAAATAACATCATATTAATAGATTCTATCCAGGCGAAGCGAAGGTTGCTAGTCCATAAATAACTTATGAATGTATATTTCTATTATATGATCAAAAAAACATACCAATGTCAGCAGCAGTGTGTAGCAGATCAGCGAGCAGTTCAGGCTCATGGCAGGCGATTGCAAGTCGTTCGTCATGCAGCCTCGCTGCATCTATCTCTCCAGGAGCTGCTTCTCTTAGTTGCAGAGCCACCGCGCCCTCGCCGCCAACCGCCGCACTGTACATCAGCACGGTGCGCGGCGAAAACGTCGGCAACGGTAGCCGCGTTGTTGCGACCTGCGACCACAAAACAGATAATTAACTTAGGCCCGTATTAATAAACGTTACTCAACGACGAACTTAGGTGCGTAATCATTTGATACGCCCTCATTGCGATATCAGCATCTCAAGATCATTGCTAATTAATAAACACATAAAAACAATATCTCAAAACGCTGTACTTAGGAATACTGTTCTGTGACTTGCACTCAAGTACACACACTTGAGAGTCGAGTTTTGTTTATTAATCAGTGTGGCACTCGGCTGATATCGTAAACCTAAACCACATCTTGAGATATGTATATTAATAAGATCATAACCTCAAGATTGTATTCAAGTGCGTGTACTTGAGCTGAGTACCGTTAAGGTATTTTTAAGTAACCGACCGATAATCAACGGGGATGAAAGGTTCTTTAGTGGCAGCCTAGTACCGGTAAGTGTAGGGTAACCTCCAACTAGATAAAGTCATGACTTCTTAAGAGATGCAAGAAGTCAATGGATGCAGACTGCTCAGGACTCTATTTTGTGGCATTCCTTGGGGAGGCCTATGTGCAGTGGACTTGTGTTCGGCTGTAATGATGGTGAATATGGTTTTCTAGTATTTCGCCTTCTGCGCCACTCTATAAAGAATACGGTGTGATGTAATGTTAAGGAACTTATCACCCTATTCCAGTTGTACAGTCATAAGTCGCGACTACGGGCAGGAGCAGAAAGACCTCAGACATGCTAGATGTATAATATCCAAATCGGTAATGGGGTCAAGTGCTGTACAGGCACGAGGCTGCGGTCGCAAACACGGTTGTCATGCGTTAAGATTACGGTAAATCCTTCAGCAATCGGAACGATCTATAGCATTGGAGTTTCACGAGAAATAAAAATTACATACATAATTAGTAATTATGTATGTAATTTTTATTTCTCGTGAAACTAATAATTTTTAATTACAGACATAATAAAGGTCTACTGTAAGCATAAATGAATCAGAAATACGAACAAAGCAATGAATGGTTATAAGAACTTTAAATATTATCTCTCTAGATGGATTCGAAATACTTAGGTCCGAGAATTAAAATGTGGACTAAAGCTTTAACGTCAATGTGACAAAGAGATCTGGAGCTTTGTGCTGGCTGAAACACGTTAACTGAGACGTCGCGTCGCCTTCGTTGCTCTTTGTGGACACCAACAGATTTTAACTTAGCGAATAACGTTTATAAATTTAAAAGGATTCCTAAAAGTTATTTATTAAGTATTTATAATCAAACATTTTCTAAATAACTAGCCAAACACTCTTTCATTAAAGTATTTAGTAACATAACTTTTAAAGCAAATTTTAGATCTAAAAATGGTATGATGAAATATATCTTTAAAATTTTTTTTGAAAGAGTATTTGAATCACAAAATAATAAAATATTTTTGTGTAAAACTAATATTAAATAATTATAAGAACAAAATTGAAATTATGGATCAACTCCGTCGAGGGTTACTTAACACGAGCTTAATGAATGCGTAGGTAAGTATAGATTTATATGATAGATAGGATAATCTGTCTCGTTCGGGCTCGGTAACCATGGTTTAAGTCCTTTGAAATAATGGCCATGAGTAATGTTCTATAAGTTAACATTGTAATATTACATTGAGTATATATATATATATATCACATGAAGCAACTAATACGTCTAGTGTACTTCTTCAGGAATATATGAATTGGCATACTAATAAAAAGTTATCAAGATAAATTTTCATATGTCATGTATGGTATATGGATGCGTCGATGACAGCACAGTCGTGGAGAGATATCAGCTGAGTGCTCCGATCAGTCGGGATCAAATCTAGTCCGAAAGAGCAGCTAGGGTTGAGCGACACTACCGACAGTCTCCGTATGGGACGATGTCAACCTCGTGAGATTCAACACCTCAAATATACAAGCGTGTCTTATTATCGCGAAATGGAGCCAGCATACCTTGACTCCTTTTTACCGAAATGTATAATTGGAATTCACCGACCGCCTTCTTTTGTTGAAGGTTGAGGTTTCTTCAAACCTGAACTTTGGCAGCTGCAAGGAAACTTCTTTGGCGCACCTTTGCATATAGTGTCCTTGCAAAGGTGCCCCAATACTTAACGCTGGGACAGTTGGTCACACTATATAAAGCGCAAGTTTTGCCGTGCGTTGAGTATTGCTGCTATATATAAGCTAGCGCTGCACAATGCTACCTAGTACCATTGGATTCAATGGTACGAAGTGCTACGAAGCTTATTGGTGACACCAATATGGTTAGAATGTGCCCGAGACTGGTTTAGTATTGGTTAGGTTAGAACCAATCTTAACAATCTCAGGGACAGACACAAATTAGGAAAAATTACGGTTTTTTTATAAGATACATTTCGGGGAGTGTGTGAAGGAATTGCATGTCTTAATTCCTCCCTCTCCAATCTATAATTGGACTACAACACGCTCGGCTAGTTTCCAACCCTTTGTTGTCGACAAACCACGCATTCGAACTAAACGGTTTGCTTTTGGAGAGCGAGGACTGGCTTATAATAGTTAAAAATACTAACTAACTCTTTTCTATAATAGACATTTAAAATTTAATTAAATAATATGTAATAATTTCTGACTTGCAAGCTCGTCTTCGTTACTAAAGTACTACTCAAGGGCTAAAGCTGTGTAACCAACTGTCCAGTCTCTCTTAATTTAAATAAGGCACCAAATAAAAAAATATCCAATACTAGCCGGACCATTACAAATTTTGATATTTTTTTAAAACTTTTAATGTGATGTTCACACATTAATTAACGCTGTGACTGTTTTGAATATCGTAACAATATCCATCATTATATGAACGCATAATTGGAGGCCATTATCATTTGCTGTCGCGCATAGAACCGGTGTTTGGTAGACGTGTGTGAATAAATAGTTGCTCGTGAGTAATTATCAAGCGGTGTTGCTAGCGGGCGCGTGTAATGACGATGTACGTTATAATACGATTAAAGCCGAACCGACCTCGCGGTAATTGAATATCGCTCCACAATATCAAAGGCAAATGAATACAATACGGTCGCTTTATACGGTTTTATTATTACGTCATTTGTTTTATTCATAATTTATAGAATAAGGGTGACAGACGAGCACACGGTACACGTCATGGTAAGTGGATGGTATTGGATCTCTTGGTATCGTATTCCATAAGAGCGTGGTCCTTCCTCGGTCGAACCGACTCATTCGTGCTACAACCATACTCGTAATATAGCTACAGCATGGCTCTACCCTACCACGTATAAAAGTTACTTTATAGAGTAAACGTAAAGTAACAACCTACCTATCTCGTGTAGCTGGATATAGGGTTTTTCATTTCATTTCTGAGAGGATTTCAAAGCGTTTGGAAATGAAACACATCTTTACCAGCGAAAGACGTAGGTATTGTGGAGTTTTTTGTTTCTATAGAATAAGGGTGACAAACGAGCAAACAGTACACCTGATGGTAAGTGGTTGCTGTGGCCCATAGACATCTACATCTATCTGTGTTTGCGAATTACATTCTGTGTGAAGCTTTTGTTATTGTATCCGAGCTTACATCTCTATCGTATAATACGTTCCGTGTATGTTACGATCTCACTATAGAATTCAACTGAAAATTTTCATTCAAAAACAACATGAATGTTGCGTTCCATATCCAACGCCCTGCTGAATACCTTGTTACCTGATACTAAAATTAAAGTTTTTTTTATAGAATAAGGGTGACAAACGAGCACACAGTACACCTGATGATGTAAGTGGTTGTGTGATGATCGCTGCATTCAACCCGTAGGTATACAGCTACAATTATATATATATTACATTTCCACGTTTAAATTATTTCATTATATTATTTACATTATAATCATATTAGAATATTCAACAATGATGTAATTATTAATTAGAATAGGATATTTACAGTAATGTCTAATCGAATGTCAAAAAATTATATTTTATGCAATGCCATTATAATAATGCATACTGATGCGTCGCTTAAATATTCATCGATTGAGTAGTAGCATTTCTCAATTAAAAATGTTTTAAATTCTTTTTTTAATTTTTGAATATTTTCCATTTCATAAAACAAAGATGGAACCTTATTGTAGATTTTAGATAATATAACGAAAACGCTTTTTCTAAGTAAATCTGTCTTTGATGAAATTGTATGAATTTTATTTTAACGTCGATTGTTTGTTTATTAAGTAATCATTAAATATTTCAGGATAAATTTTTACAAATGTCACAACTTTATAAATATACAATTCGGGAAATATCAATAACTTAAATTTTTTAAATTGTGGTTTACAGCTTTCTGTACTAGGGTAATTACAATTAATAAATAATTTTCATTTAATGCAGTACTTACGCATTATATTCAACAGTAATTGCTACGAAATCATTATTAAATTTTAGCAATATATAAAAAAAAAATCATGATCTCATTGAGCGGATCCTTTAGAGTGTTTATATAAGCAAGCTACTTATTTATACAATATTTGTCTTAATCGATGTTTATCTTTTACCGACTAGAATTATTGTTTTTAAGTTCATATTATCTACAGGTGAAAACTTTTGAATGGCCTTCTAGTTGTTATTCATTTATTTATTGTTAATGTTAGCTGTAAGTTTTCCAAAAAGAATAAAATAAAATAAATAAATAAAATAAAATAATGGCGGATACTGACTTAAACTGTGATGCTCCATGTGTATATGACGGATTTCACATCTCGAAATATTCTTAACTCTCCAGACATGCTATATCGACCCTTTTAACTATTTCTGCCACCAAATAGCAGAGCTGGCACTGCTTTGTTACGGTTCGAAGGGTATAGAGAACCAGTTTATTTACAGACTGTGACGTATTCCGTCTTAGTCCTCAGAGGCCACAACGCATTATTAGCTTTCTTTCTTTGAAGTTGGCTGCAGGTGGCCATGGACTATAGTAGCCACTTAAGATCAGATCAACCATAAGTTTGTCTGTCACTGTAGTCATGCTGCGGCTATA